CTTGGATGCAGTCCTGTGCCACGTGCTCTAGGTGACCCTGCGTGTGCAGGGGGGTTGGACTAGATGACCTCTAGAGGTCCCTTCCAACCTTAAGCATTCTATGATTCTATGATTCGTAAGTGTCAGTGTGTAAAACCCTTGAAAAGAAACAGCAGAATGTTCTTGAGGAAAATACTTTTAAACGGGCAACCCAAAAAAATACTATGCTCAAAGTTTCTGGCCACACTGAAGGAAGAATAAATAGGAAATGTACTAGCCAAATGGCAAGGATAAAGAGCCCGATATATCTCTTTCTCATTATAAGTCTTTTTTTTTTTAATATGACTTGAAAATTAAGGAGGGTATTTTTATTGTAGAGTGGCAGGAGAAAATGAGAAAAAAATGGATCTGTTTAATGTCCTCATCAGCTGTATTGAGAGGTATAATGAAGCATTTAATCTGGCTTTCTTTTATAGCCAATAACAATGGCAACTCTTAAAAGAGAATGAAAGAGAATAAAGGAAACACTGCATCTACATGCAGTAGATGAAAGAAGCTGTGATATAAAGAGTATTGGTAATCTAAATTTCATTTTATTTTTGCTGGACTCTTTAGTACTGTGGTATTTATATAGGAAAGTGACATATCCAGTTTCTCGGATAAAGGTATATAGAAGGCCTGTGTCATGCAGAACTATGTGAAAAATTTGGAAGGCTGCTTCCATTCTTACTTTTTAAGATAAATATCATGGTAATGTGATATTTTATGCTGCAAACTAATCTTTGTGCTGCTTATTTTCATGCCTATATTACTGATATTGATAACTTCAGATAAATATCAAATACTCTTGCTAACTTTCTTGTGTGCTGAGAGTGCTAGCCACAATGGGGCCCTATTCTTGTTCGTCAAGTAGACACTACCCAGTAAATATCCTTGGCAACAATATTGACCGTCTCTTCACAATGCTTGTAAGTAAAGAAGAATCTTGGACAACAAAAACAATACTTACATCTCTTTGAAGAAAGCAAAACAGAGTAGAAGCAGCTTCAGGAAGTTGGGGCAGGCTGTGGCATGTCTGTAAGTAAATAAATCAAGTTGCATTTATATGACAGATTAAAATGAAGGCATTATTATGCAAGAGGTGAAATTCGGGAGAAAATGTAGGTAAACTTCCTTTGGGTGGAATGGTTCCAGTCACTCAGGAAGGGTTATTTTTCATGGTGGTGAGATAGAAGGGAATACATGGGATGGGAGTTAATGTATTTAGGTAAAGTGAATTCAGATCATCAAGTGTAACTGGCAACTGGAAAGAAAACCATACTGAAACATTACAGCAATGGAAAATGATGTGACTCACAAGCTAATGAAGGTATTTAATTGGACAGCCCCTTTGTGTTATGTTCATCAGTGTCACTTACCCCAGGGACGCTATAGGATGCACCTGGAAGTCAGAGTGATTACAGCTGTGTGACTGAGAAGACAAATTTTTTAAGGCTTTCATATAAAATTTGGGGCATTTCTCAAACCACAGCACTCCTGTTTGCCTGAGGGAAACTGAATTACGTTAAGTGAGATACCAGTTATAGCATATCCCACTGTCTCTCATATGCTTTATATTTACCAAAGAGTTTTCAGCTCATATATCCAAATATTACAGAGAATGTAGCAACATCTTCAGTTGTTTGCTCTGGGATTTTCTTTCAGCGCATACTCTTGAGAAATGAAGACCACCATTTGGACAACCCAACAGGCCATGCCAGGTAGCAGCCTCAATCCTCTCAGGAGAAAAAGCAGCCTTCGTTCAGGGGTGAAAACACTAAGGCCTGAAGAAGTGAGTGGAACCGAGCAGAACCCCCGCTATGCCCACGCCTCAGTCCTGGGGCCAGACCCGTCCCTGCGGCCCGTGAATGCGGACACGGGGCCTGGAAAATCTCTGCAGCGGTCAGAGACAGACACACAAAAAGCTCTTCAAGTAACACTTAAAATTGTTCTGTGGGACTGCTTGCCTCCCCTTGCTGATTATAGAGGAAGGATAGATCTATTTAATGCGCCTTTCCCAAGGCAGGCCACCCACGCCTAAGTAATTCTTGACAGAAATTTGTCTTTTTTATTTTTAAAGAGCTCCAGTCATAAAAACGTGGCAAGTCTCTCCAGGCACTTCCTAATTATGAGAAGACTTTTCCTCCTGCTTGCCTGGATAACTGTGCCTTGCTGTGATTTAAGATCATTATTAATTTTCCTCTGTGACTGTTTTTGAAAATGATCATGTTTCCCACTCTCCCATAATGGTCTTCTCTTTATTAGGCTGAACAACCCAATTTATTATAACTTTGTGATTTTAAGTTGCTATTTATTCTTGTTGGACTGTCCAGTTTGTCTTCTTGAAATATGATGACCAGCTGCAAAACTATCTTCAAGTTGTGACCCTATCAAAAATAGATCAAAAATGTTACTTGAGTGTACACATAAGGTAACCCTTGTTTGTTGTTTGCTGAGATATTGATCAGTTAAATGGACACACTGGCTGAAATTACTTCTTAAAAGCAACCAGGGGTGGGATTCACCTTATTTACGTTTGGCAATCTTCCATTTACACACCTAAGTCTAAGCTTCCTGTCTATGGTCAGCGGAGAGAGGCAGGCTCTTCATGAGGATGATTCATCCCATCTGCACAGAAGTGTGTAAAACACGTGGGATTAAGTCAAAGGAAATGAATTGCCTCCCTTTTCCCAAGAATAACCTTAAGGAAGCCTAAAAGACTAGGCTAAACTGCATATCTAACTTTCAGACAGTTAAAGGAAAATTGCTTTACCTTAATGATAACAATATAATTTAGCACTCTCAACAGAAGGAATAAATCCTAAGGAAAATATAAGCATATATTTTCATTTCTTACTGAACTGTTATAAACTGTAGTACTTTGGGTCTGCTGTTTTCCATTGTCAATTAACAATTGGTTATTTTAAGGTCTAAATATTTACAGAGAATTTTGTCCTTAGATGAGAGATTAGAATTGTATGAAAATTATTCATAAAATTATTCAGAAAGAAAAAAAAAAGAACAAAATCTACTAGGGTTATTCTATATAGCAAATCCACTGGCTAGATATTTTTCTTGTGGCTCCCTAGTTTTTAGTGTTCCCCAAAATGTTAGCATACTAGCACACCCTAAAATGTAACTTTTATGTCTGGATGTCATCTGTTTTAACAGTACCATTACAGCCTTTGCTGCTCTGGGCAAACTTCATACTTCTGTGAGGTTAGATGATAAAGCTTAGCAAAACTGTATTTATAGTACAGGTGCCAATTATTTCAATTTACCAAAATGTTAAAATAAAAATTGTTTTTTTTTTTGCAGTTGATATTACCCCAAATTAAATTATCAGTTTAACTCATTCTTAAACTGATTTTGATTACTCCTAAAACAGAAGTACATGGTCATTATTTATAAATGAACTGAAAATTATTTAGAGATGAACATATTACAGACAAAAGTAGCATATGATAGTATATGGATGGAAGGACAGTAACAAATAATGTTATAAGCTACCAGTTTTTATACATTTTTACTGGATTAAACTGGTATTTTTAACGAATGACTCATTCATGAAAATGACTTGAAATGATTCTTATTTGGTGCTAAATCACTGCAATTTCTGGGTTGAGATCATTTGTTCTGCCTCTTATAAGGATTGAACCCTCCCATGGGCACCTCTTATGTGGGAAAAGTGAAGGAGGAAATGTCTCACGGGCAACGCTTACCTGGGTTATTCTGCTCTTCCCTCAGTGTGGGGACAAAAGCCTGGTTGACTACTAAGCTGCTGCAGTGCGTGACCTGGCCGTTAAAACATTTCATCTACAGACCTCCTGCTTTGTGGGCTGGCCCGATCCCTTTTCTTTAAACACATTAGATATTTTGGATCACCGTAATCATGCGTCAGCCTGTCAAGATTTTGCAGTTTATCTGGTTTCTCTTTCACTCCATCTGTTGTTTAAACTCTGAGTTTGAATAATGGGGTTAAAATGCTAACATTTTTATAAAGCTTCTCTCTGTGCAGACACAGAAGAGAAATGTTGAAGATACTGAATGTTACACAGAGAAAGGGACTATTCTTGGGATGTAGCTTTTGTGAGCACTGAGCTACACAGGGCTATAAGGCAGCCAGGGGAGCCTGTTTAGGAGGTTCTAGCAACAGCAGAAGCCAGAGATTCTGGAGCTGCTTAAGATTATCTGACTATTTAAAAAAAAAAAAAAAGGAAAAAGAAAAAAGAAAAAAAGTAGAACCGGAAGCACGTAGACACACAGCAAGTAGAGGTGGCACAGATAGGGATATTTTGTGTCTGGGAGAGTGATTTTGATTTTGCCCCATGAAAGGAGCAAAACTTCATGTTGTTTCTACAGAACTTCCATTACTTGAGAGACTACATGAAATGAAAGAAATGGAAAAAAATGAAATATTATTTCTTTTTAGCTAATCGAACTGGTAAAGTTTCCCACATCACGTAGGAGACAGAGGATCTGTGAAGGATTTTTTTGCACTTGGTAGCATCTGGTAGCAAGATATTTAGAAATAAATCAGTGGCAGAAAGAAGAAGTTTCTCTTCTGCGCGTTCCCTGCGAGATGGTCTAGGCTAGTGAAGGCTAGGCTGGAGCACCTGAAGGGGCTCAGGGAGTAGAACATATGAGTGCCTGAAGGAGATGGAAAAGTGCTAAGGTGATAGTTTATTGAGGGAGTATGAGATTAGAAGAAAACTGTAATGGTTTCACATAAGGCTGCATGTTGCATTTTATTATAATTCAGGGCCAAGTGCTGCATTTTTCATGTTGGATAAATGAGGAAGAGGTAAAGGGTTGCCCGCCTTCACATTTTTTCACCAGCTGTCTTTAGATGCCATTAAAATTGTTCCTCAAGACAGTGTTCTTCCAAACATGCTTCTGGTCAACAACACCTATTTTAAAAAATGTATTTGTTCATTTTATGTAAGTTTTCTTCCACAGCCTTTATTTTAGAGAGAAACTGATGCACGATTAAATTCTATTTATTTACAGGAGCACATCCCATTTTCTAGAAGATGGTAAGAACAGCAGGAAACTCTGTTCGCCCAATGTGCCAGCCGTCAGCTAGAGGTCTGTCCTTGGCATCTCCTCCAGCCATGTTCTCCTGGTTTCTTCTGCTTGACTTTCTGTTTCCCGGTGTGTGACGCCCCTGCACGTGGCCACCTTAGCTGGTTAGCTCCCCGTGATACCTCGTTCTCTATAAAGCTCAGCTTCTGCCTGGCCTCACTTGCAGGCTCGTGGTCTGGGTTTTTGGTAAGCCCCCTACAGAAATCTCCCGCCACCAAGAAAGCAGAAACACCTTCTGAACTACTTCGGTCTGAATACTAGCAACAGAAACACTTACAGTACTCATGAAATTCAGTAAGATTTCATTCAGCTTTCATCGTAACAATACAAAAGTCAGAGACCTTGGGTTTTGCCTAGTTTTGGGTGGAATCTTAGGCTTATGCTCCTGTAACTCTAAAATAATATGTATCAGCTAACTGTGATTTCAAGCTGTGTTTTCACAGGACACTGGCCCAGAATTTCATGTGTACACTGTATAAAATCAAGGGTGGCCATGCAGCTTAAGCTTGTTATTTGATTACCTCTGTACGCAGCAGAAGGAAGGCAGACTCCTGTGAGGCCATTCGTCTTGTGGTAAAGTAAATATGAAAAATACATAGCAGATTTTTGCTCTCTCAAATGTCTCTCTCTCAAGTAACCAGTGAGGCAGCCAAATCAATTAGCTTAAATTAGACACTTAACCTTTTGCTGGCTAAAGTTAAGTGAGTAAAAGTAATTAGCAACAGCATTCTGCTTCAGAAATTTGCATGTTTAGTGTTGCAAAAGACCTCACGGAGTATTATCCATCATCTGACTGCTTTGTCCAGTGTAATCGAACAAGAATGCTTGTAAAACCAAAATAGGCACAGCTGTGAGCCTTCTGGTCAGCAAAATGTACATATCTGTTGCAACCTGTGGTGAATCTCCTAAAATTGCCAAGAGCTGAATCACTGCAGCATGAGCAAATCTAGTGGCAGGGATTTGCTGCTTTTGCAGAGATTAAAAACTGATATTATAAAACATGATGTTGAAAAAGTTTTGCTTCATTCAGAGAGCTATAGTAGAGACTCAAAAATGTGCAATTTCTCTCAGTTTACACAATCACCGGCGTTTTCTACAACATACAACCTATGGAATTGAATGTTCAGTAAATTTTGGAGGTTAGGAGGCCAGTAGATTTCAGAAATAAGTACACATCGATTATTATGATCCCTAATTTAAGTTGGCTTCCCTGGGCATCTGTAGCCATGCATTATGAGATTCTGCAAACGGGTGTGCACAGTTCACAAAATACTAAGTTCATATTCATTGACTAATGCACACCAAAGACAGCGACGGTTTAATGAGCTCTCAGGCTAAGGATCCACACACTCACCACTCCAGATACAACATGACTTGGCCCAGGAATTCCTGCCTAGTCTGCAACTGAGCTGACTAGTTTCTATCTCTTTTTTGACTTGTGGTTGCACCATTTTCCTATTTCATGCAGGTGTTTTCTCTGTTGAACTCTACAAATATTCAGTGAACTTGTCTGAACAATTCTACCACTGTCTGCAGTGTTTATTTTTCTTATCTCTCATGTCTCTCACAGCTCTTCCTCAGCAGTCTGGGCAAAGGATAGGCAGGTTGGCACCAGGGCTGGGCCTTGGATCCCTGCTAAAGCCCTGGTGATGTGGAAGCCTACAGCAGGCCTTCAGAGAGAGCATGAACATTGCTCACAGAAGATGGAATAGAAGTGCTGGCCTGGTGCTGGCCTCGTTTCAGTGGTGGCCACCGACAGAACTAGAGGAAATGGCCAGAAACTGAAGCATCAAAAGTTCCACAGGAACTTAAAGAAAAATTTCTTAACAGTGAGGGTGACAGAGCACT